CACCTCTTCTTCTTTCTTTTATTATTTCTCTCTCTCTTATATGGACTTATAACCCAGGAGGTCCCCTGCTCAGACCCGGCGCTACCATATAGGCAGGTCAAGCAACTGCTTGACGGCACCAGCAGGGGGGGGAAGTTCAATAAAGAGAACCTGTCACCTACAAATGCTATCACATAGGTGCTTGTTAGCTCTTGTGTGATAGCAATAAAGTTAAGTTATTTATTTTTATTGAATATTTTTATTTTTTTACTTTACTGTTGGGAGCGTCGGGGAAATAGTAGGGGTCTAAGCAGACCCCTGATATTTCCCTTTTAAAATGGAAAAAGAGATTGAGGACGCTCAATCTCTTTTTCTGCAGCCCCTGTTATCAATGAACAGGAATCCTCTATACGGAGTGTTCCTGTTCCTTCATAACATGAGGACAGAGTATGTTACTATAACCACAATCATGAACAGAAGGTAATGTAGATCACTTCCCATTCATTCATAATTGAGGATATAGTAACCACACCATGTCCTCATTTATGTACAAACACTCAGCGATCACTGTTCACCGCTCTCCTTCCTTACAGCTGTCACAGGAGGCTGAGCGAGCGGTGCGGGGAGGAGAGCTCAGCCTCCTGTGAGAGCGCCGGCTGTCTCCGCTCACACACTGCTCTCCTAGAGGGGAGATGTGGGAACAGAGGTGATGTGGGGGAGAGTGGGAACTGTATTTGTAGTCCTCTATAGTTGATGTACTCGGTCTAGAAAAAATGGTATAGGTGGATCTCTACTCCCATCCATGCCCGTACCGAGGTACAGACATGTTTTAATATTGATGGGAGGCAGAGGTAATTGACTACAAGTGCGGTGCATAGGCAGCCGTCTGAGGGCGCGTGCACGCAAAAAGGCTCCTTCGCCTGTGTAGGCAAAAATCCTTGCACCGGCCCTGCCCCTGCTTTTTTTCCCAGGCTTTTAGTGTGTCTTTTAGTATGCACTTGACTTTTCTTCTACTACTCTCCCCACTTTCCATTCTCTTGTTCTTCTGCCTGTATTTGTTTGCATCACCGATGTATGGCATACAGCGGAACAAAACTGTTCCCAGACTGCTAGGTCAGCATGCCTTACGTCGGTGGCATTTACCGTTCTGCTGTAACCTCATGGTCGCTTTAGCGAGCATGACCTTATGTCAGAGCAGTTCCCCTGACGGTCCCCTTTAAATTAATGTGTCATCAGCGGCTGAAAAGCCGCTGATGACAGCTATTAACATAAATTATTTACATCACTTCCTGTTCTCAATGGGAAGAAGCACTCACTACAGAGGCTTCTCCCCATTCAGAAACTGGTTGATAGTAAATATTTTACTATCAACAGTTTTGGAATGAATGGGAAGCCTCTATATTGAGTGCATTCCATTCATTTAGAACAGAGGCTGCAGAAAAAGAAATTGAGGGCTTTGTGTCCTCCAATTTCTTTTTCAAAAGGGAATTGCCAGGGGTATGTTTAGACCCATGATATTTCACTGCAGCCCCTCCAACAGTTAAAAAAGATATATATATTAAAAAATAAATACATTTGAAGACAAATAATAATTTTAAAAAAAACACAACCCCCCCCCCCCCCCCCCCCCCCCCCAAAAAAACAAACAAAACCAACAACG